ATGGGTCCAAAAGGGTTAGGAACTTATGCTGGAAAGAGACAAGTAACCCAGGAAGGAAACAAAGGCATCTACAAATATGATATGGACATGAGATATAATACTCCGTAAACCATACATGTAAAAGTTTGATGAATCCCATTCTAAAATACATACATATCATGTTTTCAGATAGTATTTATTTCGTACTAAAACAATAACAAATAACTATGTTTTTAGAATTTAATGTTTTTTAATATATTTATTGTATTTTTTTTTTTACAAAGATAGTAATTTAAATATTCAAAAATTCTCAAATTCATCCAAGTATAATTTTTTTAGGTATTAAAAGCTTTTCATCGAGAAATGTATTTTTTTTATAAATGTATTCCTTTATTACATACACTTAATTTACTCATAATTCAACTATTAAAAAATATTATTTTTTAAAAATTTAAATTTTAAAACATCATCCATCAATTATTAATAATGATTCACATTTGTCAAACATTATCCGGAAAAACTATTATGAAATTAGTTTTCAAGTATTAAAATCAAATCAATTGTATTTTAACAAAGCAGTCTCAATCCTTACTGTTTATTTACAGGAAATTAATTTCTGACAAACTCTTCCTGACAATCCTGATGACTAATTTAACTTCTTGCCCTCCTTAGGATGCCTTACTTTGTCCACTGAAAAGGGGAAACGTTGATTCGTGAAAAACCGATGCCGATGGAGATGTGCCGCAAACATCCTGTTTGGTGCCGTGTGAATCCCACCGCCGAGAACATACTTTGGAGAGTACTCTTTTGTTTCGATATCCGAAGAACCATGGCCATGTTCATGAACTGGGAAATGTACGGTAGACGAGCCTTCTCACAGTCATTATTGAAGATATGGACAGAGATCACTGTGAAATTACCTATTCTCTCCGTCATCACGCATTTGCCAAACTCATGGAGATGCCGATGAAGCTAGAAAGTTCAATTAAATGCTACGCTGTCCATTGGTTTTGTGGGAAAGGATACAGGGATCCGAGAGACAGGCCACATGGAGTTTTAAGTTTTGGTTATGTAATCTTCATTTAATTATGAATTTGTTACCTTTCTCTTTCAGACAAACAGTGACAAACTGAAAGCAGTTTGGTCAACGAAATTCTTGAGAAGAAGGTTGATTTTGTTTTTGCTTTACAAGGTATGATAATTGGAAGAGGGAGGAACAAGCGGCTACTAATAAGCAATTAATAGTAGTTACCTCCTTTCTTAAATGCTATAAAATTTCTAAAATGTCCTCCTTTAATTTAGTTTTGTAATGTTTCGATAGGGTGATTTTGATAGATTACCTTCAAGATCTTGGATTCCTAATTACATGTATCAACATGCAAATAAGATTTTTTTATATATGTATTTATTAAATGTGGTTGGTCTAACTGCATCTTTGTAACATGGTTTAGATTTTGTTAATGTAGGTATAGCAATTATAGAGCTCGTTGACAAAAGGACTTATATTATGTTATATATTTCCTAAACGCGGTTGGTCCGATGAGTTTATTTAAAAAATATGTGACCCAAAGTTTAATATATATGGAGTTTTATTTTGAATTAAAAAACATTTTCCCAACAAATAAAAATTTATTTCTAATCAAGTCAACATAAATGTTTTTTTTTTAAATAATATAGTTTCATCATGATAAAGAAAATGGCGGAAACGGTAACTTATGAGTTGCTCAACAATTTAAAGACCTAGCAGTATTAGGTATGATCTTACACCAGCATCATGAAAAATGTACACAAAAACTCATAGGAAAACACGCCATACAAAATTCAATTTGTTCTCTCTCCTGTGTGCATTTTCTTAGATAAATAAATCAAAACCATCACAAATTAAATTCATTATTAGTATCATAACATAACATAATTCCATGCACTACAGCCAACATCTTTCCACCTGTCCATTACACTAAGATATCTTCACTTGAGATTTTTTTCCCCTGTGTCTATCTTTTAATACAAAAAATGAGTCCCTAAATATAACCAATAAAATGGCACTAATTACTTCCTATATATTATAAAATTTTCAAATCCATATTATATTAAAAACAAATAATTGATCCAATGACTTCTATATCAAAGTTCAAACACGTGTCTAGATCATATCACACCAAGAACATAGTTATAATTCCCCTTCGAGAATACATCTGGTATCACGGCGCATCATATAGCGGGGTAAAGTTGAAGTGCATGTTTAGTAATACGATATAAAATATTTTTTTAAAAAAGTTTTTTATTAAAAAAATATTTTTTCACATTTTTTTATTAATAATATTAAAATCATAAAAAAATATTTAAAAATATATTAATATGATTTTTTTATGTGAAAAGAAATTTAAAAAGCATTTTAAATGTAGGTTGAACCCAAAGTTTTTAATTTCATGAAAAGCCATTTATTTGATAGCAGGAGTGAAAAAAAAAATTATTTAACCTAGTTGTTCCTCTCTCTTGTTGTTCTTTTACTTTTGTTTTCTATGATTTTTGAAAAACCATTCCATAAATAAGACCTTAATTCACCTTTTGTTCTAATCTAAGAGAAAAGAACCCATTTTAGGTATATTTTCACATTATTTTTTACCATCACCCTTTCCTTTTCTTGCCTTTTGACAAAAACATGGACGAGAAAAAAATCAAATCTATCTCTAGAAAAAGAGATACTATCTCTGAAAATTTTTATTGGTTTTAATATAAGACTGAAAGAAACAATAAACGACATGGATCCATTAAATTTGATCTCGAAACAAAACGAGGTAGCACGTTGACATGCTCCTCTGGTTGGGGAAGAATAACCCTTCTCGTAAGAGTTTTTTATCCTGTTATTGCTAGTAAATCCCAGAAGAGAAGGAGGTTGTTTCAAACCCCAAAAAATAACATCCCCAGTAATTTATGTGTGAGAACATAAAACTTATTGCTCGTATCCAATCAGGAGAGTATAGTGGTCGGGTTTCCAATGAAACAGTGCATATTAACAATCAGACTATGAGTCTTATTTAGGGTTACTTTGAGATCACATCCTCTATTTGCATGTATATAATGGGGTATTTCTTTCATCTTCAAAAATTCATGAGGAACATGTTTAGATACTAGCAGTTGGGTTTAGATAAGTTGTATCTTAATAAATAAGCTATTTTTTTCTCCATCCATAAATTTTATAGGATCATTAAGATTGATTCCACAGTCAATATCTTTAAAAATTGACCGGTGCCATTTAATAATTATCACTCCTTTCGTCTACATTGCTGACTTATTCACGATCGTGGGCACCATTTGTTTGATGTGGTGCCATTAATCAATCAATGGTTCGTTTTATTTTTGAACAATTACAATGAAAGATTGCATCAAAATCCCCACAGTGCACAGTGTTCGGGGGTCCATGAAAAACACTACAGCACACAGGATTGTGGGTGCATTGTGTTTTTGCTGGTTGATGTGTTTTTTGCCAACTAATTAATTATTTAGATTATTTTCTGTCCAAATTGAGAGGAGAATACTGTTTTATATAATAGAATTTTAGGTTAATTATAGGAGATGACATGCACGTTTTGCAGCGTTATACTTGATTTTATTATAATTATAAATTAATGCTAGATAATTAATAGAAATTAAAAAATGATGAAACAAATATTTTGAATTTAACTTTTTTGTCAATAAAAGTAAAAAAAATTATAAAGCTAAACTTTATATTAATTTAATATAAAAAATAACAAAAATAATTTTGAGAGGAAAAAATCTGTGAGAAAAAACATTGTAACAATTAATAATATTTTACGAGGAAAACTATAATGCTTTCTCAAATAAAATAAAATAAAAAAACCATCTACAGAAATGCTATAGAAATCCACAATATTTTATGAGAAAACAAACAACGCTTTTCCTATATGATTTAACTTTATTGTAATTATAATTTTTAACCAATTCAATATTTTTTTAAAAAAATTATTAAAAATAATTTTGAAAAAAATTATATGAAAAAATACTGTAATAATTTACAATGTTTCAAAGAAAAAATATTCTTAATTAACTTGATATTAAAAAATAGATGGAGATAATTTTAGAAAAAAAAGAGAGGGAATCATGTTGGAAACACTATAGCAATTCATAGTGTTTTCTGATGAAAGTTACGTGCTTCCCCTCATGATCTAGCCTTATTTGTAATGATTTATAATTTTAATTCTTAAACAACTCAATATTAAAAAAATAAAATTGGCAAAGATAATTTTGAAAAAATTACAAGAAAAAAAAACCATGTGAAGATACACTATAGCAATCCATAATATTTTATTAGGAAAACTAGAGTACTTTTTTCATATAATTAAGTTTTATTATAAAGTTAAATCCTAATCAACTCAATATTAAAAAAATATAATTAAAAAATATAATTTTGGGCAAAAATATTGCAAAAAATAAAAACACAAAACAAATTAGAAAAAAACATGTAAAGAAAAATTATATTAATCCATAGTGTTTTGCAAGAAAAAAAATTATATTTACTTGTAATTGCAATTCTTAACCAGTTTATTATTAAAAAAATAAAATTAAAAAAGACAATTTCAAAAAAAAAAACATAACAAAATAAAAAAAATCATGTGGAAAAAAATACTATAGTAATTCACAGTAATTTGAGAAGAAAATTACAGTGTTTTTCTCATATATAATAACTGTAATTTTTAATTAGTTTAATATTAAAAAATAAAATAAAAAAATAAATTTTAAAAAAATTATAAAAAATATAAAAATTATACGGAAAAACAGTGACTTCCCGCCACCTTTAGTTATATGTATAATAACATAATAATAATAGTTGAGCTATAATCTTCACCAAGCCCATTACGTGGCGTCGAGTGAAAAGCATTGCAGACCCGGTGATTCGTTCCACGACAGGTGCCCCCACAAGGGCGATTGACACGTAGGCATGCACCTGGAAAAGCAATCCTAGTCAGCGCTCTTTCCTCTTTAAAATTCACACGCTCCTCGCGTCTGGTTTTTATCCTCTTCTTCTCTCTCACACAAAATCAAAATCACCCTGCAACTGAAAGCTCTTTTCATCTCTCTTTTCTGTGTACTTTTTTGGTCGAGTCTCTGGCGATCATCTGTTCGCCGGAAGTTGAACTTCTTAACTGTAAAATGGAGGACCCGGCTAGCTATTGTAGTCTACTGTTCAATTTCCAAAGTGAAAGAGTGACGTTATCGTGCCGTCGCGTATTTCGGGAACTTTAATCGTATTTTTGTAGAAACCCTAAGCAAAAGCGACTTTTACTTAGCAGAGTCTAGAAGTTATTCCATGCTTTGGCTTACAAATAAGAGGAAAATATAATACTATTGCTTTATAATAATTAGAACTTCAAGAAACATAGAGGAGGTCTTGATTCTTTTAAGAGTCTCTCAAAATTAGAAAAGTTTTGGTAAACGCAGCAAAATCCTGGGTTTCCGTGTAGTTTTGATTTGCTGATCTCATTCTCCGTGGAGTTATCAATGTTTCTGCTGCTTCATTTAATCGATGTGTAGAGCAGAGCATTTTAAAGCTCCACTAACCTCATTTAATTACTGGTAGTATTTTAAGGTTTTTGAGGTTTTTGCGTACTATATTTGCAGAAATTAATAATTAAAAAATGAAGGTGAGGATTTTATAGAGTGGGGAGGGTTTTTTCATTCTAGTGTCGTTGATCATAGTGATCATGCCTTTTCCAATGAAGATCCAGCCAATTGATTATCAAACACTGAATGAGTCGGTCGCTCACCGATTCGAGCCAGTAAAGCCTGTGGTGAAATCGCGATTGAAGCGGCTGTTTGAGAGGCAGTTCCTGAGAAATTCAGCTGCTGAGAAGGTCGGAGCCATCGAGGAGTCGCATTTGAAGGACGGCTCTAACGAGTTCGAGCCGAGCTCGGTTTGCTTGGCGAAGATGGTGCAGAACTTCCTCGAGGAGAACAACGATAAGCAAACATCGGTTAGGTGTAACCGTAATCGCTGTAACTGCTTCAACAGAAATTGTAACGATGGCTCTGAAGACGAGTTCGACTCGTTTGGTGGTTTTGGAGATTCTAACCTTTCCTCTTCTGCCGAAGCGTGTGAAACTCTGAAGGTACTTAAGTTAATGGTGTGGGATTGAATATTTTTTTTAATGTTTTCATTTGCTAAAATCACTGGGTTTCTTCTATTGTGGCAGAGTTTGGTGCCGTGTGCAAGTGTTTGTGAGAGGAATTTGCTGGCGGATACAGCGAAGATTGTTGATAAAAACAAGATCTCTAAGCGAAAAGATGATGTTTGCAGGAAGATTGTTACCGACGGTTTGTTGGGTCTCGGATATGACGCGTCTATCTGCAAATCTCGCTGGGAAAAAGCCCCTTCTTATCCCGCCGGTACTTCCCCCCTCTTAAAAAAATGGATAAACTGTGTTTATGTCTGTTTCCTAAATTGCATAAAATATATATATTTTCTTCTTTTTCAGTTTGTTTCCTGGAACGACAGACTCTCCCATACAATTAACCATAAAAAACGAAACATTTCTATCTCATATGTCGGAAACAAGAAAATCGTTGAGTTTAGGAATGCACATCAATATGAATTGTAATCAAAGCAGCTACATGGAATAAATTATGGGAAATAATGTATAATTTTGTTCTAAATACAGGGGAATACGAATATATAGACGTGATCATCTCAGGCGAGAGGCTGCTAATTGACATTGATTTCAGATCAGAATTTGAGATAGCTCGATCAACCAAGAGCTACAAATCTCTTCTCCAAATTCTACCTTCCATCTTCGTAGGCAAAGCTGATCGTCTCCAGAAGATTATTGCCATTGTATCGGATGCGGCAAAGCAGAGCCTTAAGAAAAAGGGAATGCCAACTCCGCCATGGAGAAAAACCGAGTACATCAAAGCTAAATGGCTTTCTCCTCATACGCGAACCACACCACTTAGCTCAAAGGAAACAGATCCTCAACTGGAAAGGGAGCAGACTTTGGTTCGGAATGAGATTGCTGAGCTTGGACTGAGTTGCCAAGAGAAGAATTCGGTAGAGGATGATACTGAAGTGGGTGGATCTGTGCATGCTTTATCATCTGAAGGTTCTGTCGCAGAAGACGAGGCTATAGTGGTGAAAGAATGGAAGCCACCTGAGGTTAAGCCCAAGAGTTTACAGACTGGGATTAAGATAGTGACTGGATTGGCTGCAGTAATTGAAGATGAGCCATGAAATTTTGATCTTTTTATATATATATATATATTGAAGAACAGATTATATGATCATACATGATATAACTGATGAAATCAAAACCCCTTCTGCTTTTTGTGTAAGGGTATCATTTTACAGCTAATATAATAAAACTCTCGGATGATATTGTAAGAAGAATGGCTAATACAAACAACATAATTTCTTGAGTTTTTTTTTCTTTTGCAATTCTCCTTCTCCTCCTGTGCTTTGTATTCAGAGTACAGTGTTTTTTTTTCACCAGATGAGGCTCAATTATTCTGCATTTTGTTCCTATCAATTACCAGTCTCTATTTTAATCAAATTCAATATATCACAGAGAAGGGGATTTCTGCGTCAGTGCAATCCAGAAAGCAACAAGGGATAAAGGGTAATTTCCAATTATTTGATTTCTCTGTTTTTTCTATTAAATCCTTCTTATGTCACGCACTGATGATTTTAAATTCTTCTCTTGAGAGGAAGCAGAACAGAATCTGACGATAAGAGAGAACAGACTCGTGCAGTCTCGAGCTGCGTGAGGTGAGGCCTGAAAGAAAACCATTTTTAATATTTAAGTCCACATGGCTTCGCAGTTCTATTCCTCGATGTTTTTTTTTTTTTTATCGATTCTTTGTACTTATTCTTTTATTCTTGAGCGATGAAGGGTTTTTTTTTTAAAAAAAAGACTTCATTGAATTAGGTATTCTGATCGGTCTTCAACAGTTTAGTACAGTGGTTATTGTGGAATCTCGACTGAGAGGAGAGCAATTGGTCATGGGTGGTTGGTATCTTAGCCGTGTGGGCTTTGTGAATGAGTTAGTTGTTGACTCTTGACTTGTAATATTTTGATGATCAATGCTCAGTAATCTATATGCAGGTAGAAGGGCTTAAGACTAGCGATTGGATTTGGTTATCTTGGGTAATCAGTGCCGATTTATAATATTTTGCCCTAATATCTACGAATCGAAAATCTGTGTGACGATGCATTGGTTGAGTATAATTTTTTATTTTTTTTGTCCTCGGACCCAGGTCTCCTAATTGTTTCGTGGATTAGATTGGTTACAGCTGGAATAGGTGAAATTCAATTGAAGAACTTGCTATTTTTATTTGGTCATTTCGTATGTAGAGTATGGTTATTTGGTCATTTCCTCAGAGCGAAAATGCTCTTATTGTGGAAGCAGTGAGCTTCAGGCTTTTCATTTTGCTAGGAAGTTCCATAGCTTCATAACAATTGTCTGCAACAAAGAATGCTATCGATCCAAAAGGCTTGTTTCAAGTACTGATGTGAACAGATTTTTCTTTCAAGTTCACGAAAACTCTGTTCTATAATTCATCTTATGGTTTTACTTGTACGAAAACATGATTTATGGTGTGTGTTCTTGAGGAAACAACTGTCGTAGCACGTCCAGGGTGCTTGTGACGGCAGAAAATGCTTTGGATTGCTTGAATCTCAAGGGACTGATTGCTGTGCCCCCTTATCTGTTTGAATATTTGTAGTCTTGGGAGGCTAAAGTAAAAATCCTTCGTAGGAATTTTTGCAGCTTTACCTTTTTCATTACTTGACTAATTGAACTCGCCTTTGTCGTCACCGCGTGAAATGACGCCCAACGGTTGAATTTCCGAGGGTTCGAGATGGGAATTGTGTGAAAGTACTTAAACACCCTTCTGAATGTCCAAGAGACGAGAAAGCCTTGGAACTTGTTCTTGCTAACAACAAAAAACTTTGAGTGAACAAGAAAAACGAACGGCCACGTACCAAATTTGTCGTTTCTGCGTATAATACAATAATACTAATACCAAACGGTTTGTCGCTTCTGCCCATATCAGGTCCACGGTATATCTGGGGAATTGCATAAATTAAAGGAAGCTTTTTATATCTTTATTTTTTTTTTACTTGTTCATGTGTTTTTTATTATCTCAATGAATCAATGGTTGCATGCTGTAAAGTCTAGGCTCTAGTGTATGGAAGTATGGGGGCAGTTTACATTTAAAAAAATAAAAATCTAAGAAATTATTTTATGCATTAAAAAAAAACACATTATACTTTAAAAAAATACCTTTCAGCAAAATACTAAAAACACGCTTGGTGCAGATGTCTATTTTGCTTTCATTATCTCTCCTTTTTCTCTATCAATTAGGGGCCGGGTCTGTTTTCGCGTTCAATGTACGAAAACCAAATGTTTAAACCATATCCTCCAGTCTACATTAAGATATCTTTCTGTGAAAACAGCCTCCTTTCCCCCTCTCTCCCTTGAAAAAACATAACCAC